ACACAGTAACTTTTGTTGCCTGTGAAGGTATAAGCTACTAAAAGCTTAGTCCACGTATTTAATATTTCATTAATAAAATTTACTCGTTTTACAAAAAACACATCACCGTTGATAAAACGTTAAAATTATGATAAAGTAATTAAACTTCAATAATATAAGTAAAAAGAACTGTTTGACGTTCTCAATTTCAATTTACTTAGTGAGAGAGAGAGAGAGAGAGTTTAAAAAAGTAATTACGGTAAAAGGTTTTATTCATTGAAAGTTTTATGCGTTAATCTACTTGAAACTTTTACTATGAAAATTAACTTTCATTTTGTAAAATATTGGTTTAGAAACGTACGTAAGGTAATGCAACCCTACATTTTCTATTTCTCACCCTTAACCCTTCTGTCGTTTGTACGAAATGTAGCAGGTAGAAACAAGTAGATTGGGGTCACGGTACCTGAAGATCGAAGGGTCGCCAACCCTACATGACCAGGATACAATAAGCAACTAATTGACTAATGATTTAAGATATACTTAAACATATTGCATTTTTTAAATTCTTAGAACTAAAAATTCCCATATATTATAACATCGTACGAAGATCAACGTAAATGGTCAGACTTTCTTTGATTTTGGTATCAGCACTTCTTCTTATGTCTGCCATTATTTTCATTATGCTATAGTAGTTTATACCTATAGTATGGAAGTCGCATAATAAAATTGTCCGGGGAATAAAGTGCAAACTTAACAATATAGGGCACCGTAGGCTATAATTAGCTCGCACACCCTTACTGTAAATAGCAGTTTAAGTTGCACCAACATTAATTAGTCGCAGAGGGGCATGTTTAATTTTGTACCATTAGATCGAGAACGTAGGGAAACTACAGAATTAATTTAATACGCTGAATCTCTTGAACTAAAAAATTATACACCAATGTTAGCCCAATGAGGTAGCAAGCATTCAAATTAATTTAAAAAAAAAATCGTTTATAATAATTAATATCATAGTCATTATAAACAAGTTTACATTTAGAAATTTCAGTCGAGGACTTGGAAATGCTGCAATTGTTGGCGGTTAACGATATACCGTAGCCAACTTCCTGCCAAATACATTCTTGTTGAGCTCATTATTGTTAACTAAGTCTGACTATGCATTGCTAAATGTTTAGTGCATGTGAATTTGTATTTAGTATATTATTATAAAGCTAGAAATATTATCTTTATGTATATAAACAGTATCGTCGATGACAGGGACATCGACAAAACATTTATATTAGTATGTTTTAAAACGAGATTTCGTACTCAGAAACCCACGGTTAGTAACTTAAGGAGTCGTTTAATTTGCGTATATTAAAACTGTTAAATCAAACTTGTCTATTCGCAGATTGATAGAAAAGAAAAATATTATTTGCATATACATGACAGTTACTTTGTTTTATGTAAATTGCCTAGTCGTCTGACACTGTACAAACTTTTCCCTTATATCCATCTGTTATTTCATACGAAGTTTACATATTTGAAGGCGACATTTCGCGCTTGAAAGCTTTTCTATTTCCCTGCGCACACGGGCGTTGTGTTCCTCGGCTACTCTGTATCCGTTCACCGTATATACGGCTAAATATAAATGTTAGACATATTTCTAGATCAATATCTGATATGGCTTAAACGATAATAGTTCATCTGCATATTTATATTTGTAGATTGCAATTTTTACAAATTAGTTAATATAAGGTTAACGCTTTGTTCCGGTTGTTAAACCCAAATAAAAACATCAAATTTGACGTTGAATAATCGTCGAATCTCAACAACTCTAAATCTAATTTACCCTGTTATTCTCCAGTGGCAAGAAAAAGTTTCCAATTTGTAAATAACGAGGCGTGGGGGATGTTAGTGACAGAGGTTTTGTTCGACAAATTTCTAGAGACCACAAAAGCGTCAACATTATTAACGAAATACGTATAATCTAAAGTTAGTACTAATACAATATTTTGACTTTAAACTATATCGGACTATAATTTAGATTATGGCAAAAATTCGCCAAAAACCTCACGTGTGTCACCAACATTATAGTGAAGGTTGCTGTTAGTTTGTTAATTCATTTGGTTTATTATAGTGTGATACATTAAAGCCAGCGTCTGGCAGTATCTTGTAAGGCTAAACCCAAGAACCTCATTAAGGCTAATAGAAGGCCATTAAACTGTCGCCGATAACAGCTAACGGTCCAACAAGTCGTATGAGAAGACCTTTGCTTAATCCTATGTCCCATTTATTAGGATTTTCCACGTATCGTTGCAAACCACGCGATTCATACGTATGCTAGAAAGATGCCCCTTTACTGTCTAATATTTAAAACCTTTTAATATACGTATACGTATTTAAGTTCGATGCTAGCTTATTATTAAAATTATGTGAATGATTATTTATCGTATAGTAAACCTTTTTTCGATTTCAGAAAAATAAATTGAGATTATTTCTTAAATTATAACTATATAAAAATTCTACTCATAACATCTTGTCTCAGTATCTTCTTTAAAATTATAAATAAAATAGTCTAACGTTAATAAGAACAATGCAATGTTACCTGATATGAAAGTACATAGGTCCTATATTCTAAGAACTTGTCCTCTTCAAACAAAATCAAATCTCAAGTGTCAGGTAATTTATAATCTTCCGTGAATTTCTTCGCGAGGATGAGAGTAATTTATAACCTCTGTCTTAAAATCTCGCAAACTATGCGGGCTCACATAAATTACGAAGATTGATGTAATCAAGTATAAAATTGTTTGATGAACGATTTAGTTTTGTATAAAACTTTACTGTCCAATTAAACATATTTAATTTAATTTTTTCAGGAGGTCATATTTAAAAATGAACTGTAATAGTATACCAACTTGAAACCTTACATAATAGATCTTTTAATAAAGTTTAAATCAAAAAAAGTTAGAAGCAACTAAAAGAGCACCTAAAGAACTAGGATAGCTCGTAAACAAAATAAAAAAACCATCTAAAACAACTGCGATCAACATTAAAAACAAACTATTCATATAATTTAAATACTTAAAATGATAAAAAAATAATAGTCTTTTTTTGAAAATGAAATTTAATTATTTAATTGCCTCGAACATTTAAATCATAATACGGAAGCCAGTGCAGTGCAGCAAGCACTACATTTTAATGAAAGAACCTTCAAAAGCTTCAAGTTAAAAACGATCCGGTAAATATAAAGCGCCTGCATTCACAAACCAGCGGTCTGTTCTATGTATTTTTAAATGCATATTTTGTATGCGCCAGTTCATTACTTTAAACAGATACCTTTTACATAGTTTGAGTATTATTCTCTTTTTATTTTATAAAACTATTTTCATTATTAATCTACGTGACTTATAATACAACGAAAACATATCGGTTTTAATTTTTTCTAAGTTTTGGGATCAATCAACAAAATCACTTTATTCTGTTAGAAGGCAAGGAAAGACTCCAGTTATCATCTTAAGACGATATAATCGTCGAAAGTTGTGATATAAAATTGGATTTTCTTCCAATTTTATGTCTCGTCATTTCGCTACGAATACAGAGGATTATCCGAAAAACATATTTCCGATAATCTTAATAGAAATCTGGACCGTCCGCCATCATTACTCTTCGTCTTTATAGCAGTCATAGTTCTCGGATTTTATGTTCTTTAATTTACATATAAAGTTAACAATTTACATAAACTTTCGTATAAATAAACCAAGAAATTAAATTAAATAATATATCAACATTGATTAAAACGATTGAAGATAGATACATCATAAATTATTTCGAATTCAATAATCAACAGGCAAAACATCGTCTAACGAAACTGAGGCCTAGCCTAGAACTAAACAGTAATACTGCTACTACTACTTCTACAAATACTATTTTGACGTTAAATGATTCATCACACATGTGATGATTAGGTAAATTTTCAACATTTATCATTCGTTAAAAAGCAGTTCCGGATATAAACGAATAAAATTATAAATTACACTCATTAAGTGTCCTCATTGCGATTAAAAGCGACCAACATTTATAAGCTCTTAAAGTGAGATCAGCTTCATTAAGTGAATAAATATTTTTCCGTCTGCATTTACAAAACTTTAATTGGAATGGTAAAAAAATAGCCCACAGAATCGCTTCCCTCGGCACTATTTATTAGTAAAAAAAACAATAAAAAAGCTATTTAGTACTTGTTTCTAAGTTATACTGGGTAAATGAACATTTTGAAGCAATTTCGTAAGCAAGCTTTTCTAAATCTATTCCGACCCTCATAATAATCAAACATAATATGTAGATCCTTATAACCTCCGGCTTGAAACATAAGTAAAATTAATATTGTTGGACCCTCACTCTGTAAACGATAAGTTGATGAGATTTAGTTTGGGTAGCCCGAAAAAATTTAATACGTAATTATAAAGTTACATAGTCTTATATAAATTAAATTATGATACTATTACACAGAAAATCGAGATCATGTTAATGAGTAACATTTTTGTACAACTTATTCGGGAATATTTATGAGTATTAAATCTAATAAGACCTTTTATTTATCGATAATTATCTTTCTCAATATAAAGAGTAACTACAACATCGGTAGTGCAGTGTAATGTGCAGTCAGTACCGAAGGCAGAAAAAAAAGGGTAGGGCGCTACCGCCCAGGGCGCCGGACAGAAAAGGGCGTCACAATTCTGTGCATTAACCAAGCTCACATAACCCTTTCCTCTTTCTTTTAGTTATATATTCTAAAGCATAAACACGTTACACTTTGGTACATTACGGGATTTGTAGTAACCAAAAGAAAATGCTATACAAAATATTTTGTAGGGATAGTAGAAAATGAAAAACAACAATGTCAGTTATATATTTTATATAAATTTCTTACAATATCTTATTTCATAATTTGATAAATTAAGATGAAAAAAAATCACTGATTGTGACGATAACTTTAATCCTATACTTCTTATGAAATGTTTTTCATGATTTGTGCTCTAATGTTTATTATATCAAACTCACTGTGCGTTCTCATATTTTAAAAATGCCTTAATTATAATTTAATTCCTTATTCTAATATGATATGGTTCACGAACGTAACTATAACTATTTATCCTTAGACCTTCATCTCAATGATAATGACACCTATTAATATTCCTTATAAACGAATTAATCTTTGGTATATTTTAAGATCTTTTACCCAAACATTTGATAACTCCCACATATATCCATTTACTGGATATTATTAATTACAATCATTCAGTATTTTTTTTAATTTTATAAATTGACGTGAATTCACATTCGAACTCAAAAGTGGCGATATAGCACACATACGAGTAGGATGTAATATGTTACTTTAATTTTATGACCAGGAAAAAAGTTGAGGATTTAGATGAGTGCTTCTACATATTGTAATTGTGAAATGTGACGCAATTAATATTAAAGTGCAATGGTTGTTCAGTCGTACAGAATTTCTTGGCAGTAAATGTTCATTTGAAATAAAGTCTGCTTAACCTAAAATGCGAAAGGGATTGAATTTGTTAACTCTATTTGGTTGTTTAGGCCTCCTAGATCTGTTGGGCCTCTGTAATGGTTCATTAGCACCGGATAGTAAAGGTGATTGGAAATCGTCAATTGTTTCGAGATCACCTGGCCTGTCATCTGTTTCGTCTACAGTTTCAGTAAAGTTGAAGGCATCGCTGAAAACTGGATAGAGCGTGGAAGAAGTTTCATGATCCAAATTATCAGTTTGATTTGCAGAATTAACGTTTGTGGATACTGCTTTGGTACTCATATGAGAAGTTTCAGTTATTTCAGTATAATTTGCTTTGTCTACTATATTAGCAGGCAAATCGAGTGAAGAATTAGAACCAGCAATTTGTATGTCATCAGTGATAGTGGAAATTTCAGTGGTGATGAATGCAGTTTTGTTGACTATTTCTTGAATATTCATTTTAACAATTGTAGTCGAAATATTAATTAGGTCATCTCTGAAAACGGGTAATTTAGTTGTAAAATCGAGAGTTTGAGGAATGTCTGAAATGTTGGTGTCATTTCTATTGCCACTATTAGTGCTTATTTTGTCCAAGATGTTCTCGGTTTTGTTCGATTTCACTTGTGTTTGAAGTAAATTTAAGTGTGTTCCGTTGAGAAAATTTACAATTTCAGTGGTAGGCTGATCAAACTCTATTATAGTTCTTGTCGTGTTCTTTCCGATTCCTTCATCAGTTTCATTCGTCAATTTCTGACTGAAATTCCTTTCATCGTTTGTTTCTCGTAAAATAACAGTCAATTCAATGTTAGAGTCATTTTGAATTTCATTTGCAACTGTGGTTCCTAATGTTGTAGTTTCTTTAAGTTTCGAAGGCATGTTAACCAAAGTAGTACTCTTGTTTATGATTTCTTCGACAGTTTCTTTGTTTACTTTTTTCGTTTTGCTTTTTGAAATTTGAAGAACGTTCGCATTTAGTTCTTTATATTTTTTTAATAGTGATATTTTAATTGCGTCTTTCTTTGAATTATTCTTTAATTTTGATACACTTTCCGTGACTAATTCTGCCAAATTTTCCGTTGTGTGCGGACGTTCCGTTGAAATTCCATATTTCCCTTCCATATTTAGTATTTTCTTTTCTTCATTTACTTTTTCTATCATATCCTGCGTTCCAAAGTGTTGGGCGTGTTTTTCTTTTAAAGATAGAACATTCATATCATCACTAATCCTAGCTTTTGCCATAACAAGTGGCGGTACAAAGTGATCGGTTGGTTGAGTAAATATTGTTTCAAAATTACCAAGTCTAGCAAGTTCGTCGTGTAATTTTTTATGCTGCAGATTTTCTTCATCTTCCATTTTTTGTATTCTATAATTTGTTAGAAAGTTGTCATTATTGATTAAATTAGGTATATCATTGCTTTGAAGATTGTTATTCTGCATATCATTCAGGTTAACATTTTTCTCTAAAATAATTTTATTCATTTCATATCGAATGGGCTGTGAAGTCGATTGCAATCCCGATATCGTAGTTTGTCTTATATTTTCGTTAAAAGGAATGGGAGTCGACATTACGCTCGAAGGTAAATTTTCATTTTCGTTGCCATGTTCAATTGACAAATTTTCTTCAGTTACACTGATACTTGATACTTCTTGATTTTCTGTCGATGTTGCAATCTCAGTGATTGTGCTGTTTAAAGTTAAATTATTTAAAGAAGTAGATTCTACTTCTTCAGCACATGAAAGATCGCGGAGAAGATCTTCGCGTTTCTGTAAAAAGGTTACATTTTAAATAGTTAAACCTAAACACACTATATGTACTCGTATAATAACAAAGTCTCATACCACATTTCCCGTGCATTCCACTCGTTTGACACCAGCAAGGCCACAATCAGCAGTCAACTGCACTGCCGCACTTTCCGGTAAATACAGAATAGTCAAGGCCGGTAGCGCTCGGACCATACAGCCTTCGTTGCCAAGTGCCCATTGCGGAACTGATAAAAAGTAGAGGTTTTGTTTAGGGTCACTCAAAACATTTATGAGCTATACTTGATGTGATTTTTTTGACAATGGTTTTATACCTGGTAGTTCACAGATGAAAGAAGCGACTGTAGGTCCACCGCATGCCCGCGCCTCCCAGCGGTAGTCTGAGGTTGGGTCAGCGGCGGCGCATAGGGGCGCGGCGCGTGGGTCCGGTGCTGAGCTCCAGTAGCCATCGCCACTCAAGCCACGATAATCGCTATGATAATTCGTTTTACATTACATCTAACTATAAACTATGTAATCGTTATCATACGCTAGTCGTAACGCTTGATATACAATGTACGGTCTAAATTATGATGAAGTAAAAAATGTTTTTGATAATTTGCTATTAAATTATATTCAAAAATATTTATCAACTTTTTTAATTAACTTACGTCCAAGTGAAATCGCCTTCTGGATTGCTTCTAATCAATCCAACCCAAACTCCACTTGATATGTCCAGTTCTTTAAGATAGGCTCGCACAGCGTCATATTGTGCCGTCGTATCAACTAAAACGAAGGTAAATTTACTAAATAATTTGAGAATTGCACATAAAAATTAACTTATCTGAATTAACACAAGTTATCCCTTATATTAATCCTGGTAAATTGTCTTATCTATATATTATAATATGTCTAAATTAAAATTTACGAGCTGTAGGTACTTTATCAAAAGTTCAAATTAAGCTGTAACATTTCTTTTAATCTAATCGTAAGTCAAAAGAAATGTAACACTAAACAAAAAAGTAAATTAGTTACAACCCTATAAAGCATTTTATAGATGACCACTTAACACGACACACATTTCGAATGAGCCATTTGTAACTTGCTCTTTCAGAAATAAAACGGGACGACGATCAATATCTGGCACACCTTTGTGTTTGGTAATTGACTAACACACGCAGTGACGTCACCGCCACACCTCGCCCTTTAGCTTAAGAGCCAATTCATTACATTAGCTAAATGAAACTTGTAATAATTCATCATTATTGCCTTATATGACAAGGCCATGTTTCTCGAAGATTTTTTTTTTTATAAGAGAAGGGGGCAAAAGCGCGGTGGGAACATCGAGGTGATCATCGACACTCATGTACATCCGTAACACCAGAGTGACAGCAGATGCGTTGCCAGCCTGTAAGAAATGGTATACTTCTTCTTCTAGTACCCTAAAACGTCCATTGGCCAGCGTCGGACGCACGGCAAACATGGAACAAACGGATTTGCTTTGTCTTGATGCGATGATGGCAGCGCGAATGATGGACGAAGGGCTATGTATAAGCTTATAAAGTAAACTAAAATCCATTATGGTAAAATCCGGTGCGTCCGGCACGGACCAATGGACGCGTACCGTAAATCATATTGGTTTGAATAGTTACAAGACTTTAACTTAATATGGAATGGAATAAAGTTTTTTTTCATAAAAGGTCACAAATTTTTATTGCCTGTTCAAATACCACATCATAAATGTAACTGCAGACCTCTACATTAACCGAGGAAATGGCGGCTTCCATTAAAACTTTTGAAATATAATATAACGTGCACTTTAAACCTCACTTTAATGGATGATACGTGCTCGTCATAATTTTATAATGGCTACATTATAATTGCCGCCTCCGTAATTTATTCAATCCCTTGTTACCGTTATATTTGAAAGTTAAAACAAGTAAGTTACGATTTCCTACAAGTTCCAGAATTCATGGAATATGGTTGAACGTTTTCAAATGATGTATAATATTTACATTTTATCGATCTTTTCATCATCTACTCTGCGTTAATTTTCCACAAAAGTGGGACAAAATTGAAGTATTTGGAAATAGAATATAAATCAGTTTCAATTCATTGAAATAATTATAAAATTAATGAATAACATATCTTCCCATTGTTAACCTCGGAAAACTTTCCCTTCATAAGTAACAGGACCGACGCAGCCTATGTAAGTGACAGGGGACTTGTTCAACAAACCAACCGAGTGGCGAAAACTAAACCTCAAGGACAATAAGCATCTAGAGGGTGTCGAAAGGGTGCCGAGCTATTTGATATTTTAAAACTGTATATAAAATGTATATTGTATTGTAAATTTTTATATTTAAATAATAAACAATTAAAATAAATTATTAAATTGTAAACTATTTGAATGGAATGATATTAGTCCCTGTGATAGTAGTACCTTTATGTATAGTGTTATTGGGTAAAAAGTGGTAACGATATTTCATTAAAATAAGATGACGCAAGTTAAAGTAAAAAAGGGTCTTGACAGTCAGACGGAAGGACAACAAAGTGATCCTATAAGGGTTCCGTTTTATTCCTATGACGTACGGAACCCTAAAAATTATTCATATGTTTATTTACCCCGCAATCTTTTCTTTTGTTTTAGTATGCATTTTTATACCTACTTAGCAAAAGTAATATTTCTGTGTTAAGCGCGTGTTGTATCTATACCAATTCCTGACACAACAACTAGGCGCAACTTGTCGGAGTAGTTTACTTAGCAATCCATAAAGTTAGTTACGAATCACGCTAAAGCCGACTTTCAAAGTATATGAAATGTATATTATTGAGGAGTTAATACCTCAAAGTTGTCTATTGAAGCTTCTTCGAAAGAATGTTTGAATTAATTTCTCATAATTTTGGAATAGGTTACATTTTTTTTACCAATAAAAGGTCAATAACAATATATAGTGTAAAAATATGGGCTGTGCACCCAATTATTGGTTTAATAATTTAGGATATTTCATTTTTTAAAAACCAGTTATATTTCATTTTTTCTTACACTCGCAACTCTATTTCATGTCACACTTTTTAAGAACTATTTACCTGTTACAAGGTTCGCATGATGAAATTGACAAACCGCGTCCGCTTCGTACCAAGAGATGCGGTCTCTGAAGTACCGGTAGAAAACCGGAAAACCTTCCTCGGGAAGAACCCAAGTGTTGCTTATGTTCACCTATTGATAAAAGAGAAAAATAAATTTTATGTATTATGTATGATAAAAGTATGTATGTATTTTAATTAGCATAGGCTACTCGTACAAATCAACTCGGAATCAATACCATAACAACTCACAATCGACCTATAGGGATATTAAAGTTATTTCTGTCTATTTGAATTATGTTTTGTCTAAATGGTTCATTTTTAAAGTATTTTTATATTAGTATTATATTTTTTAAAAACACAAATAAGTAGAAAATATATTCCCGTTTTCGGGCTCTGTACAATCAGCTCGGTGACTACGCCTACAAGTTAAAATTGAAATTTGCATCTAAAATTGCGTGCAGAAGTTGAGAGAAGCTTCATACAAAGGGTATCCAAATTACATGAGGCTCCTACAACGTGTTCTAACGAGAAGGCTCTTCTAACTTTTACTCATGAAAAATTACAAGTAACCATTTCTTATTTCGTTAGAAGTAAGATGTTTACGTAAATTTATTTTGGGGAGTTAAGGAAAAGCTATGCAAAAAATAAAATCAGTAAAATAATTTGATTATTCGTTCGCCATTAAATATACTATATACTTATACTTTGATGATGTTAAAATAAAAAAATATATATTTTAGTTATTCCTAAGTAAAAACTTGAAACAATTGTGTCAACAATTAAAGCTTTAACTAAGCTAGATATATTCTCATCATCGTGTTAATAAATTTACAGTAAAGTATTTTATTTATTTTATCTAATAATAAATTTAATCAATGGTAAAATTCAAACAATATGTTAATTTCAGATACTCGCCTTATAACAAGACATCTAAGTTCTCTTGTAAGTTAATTATCAAACTAAATTTACGACTTCTGCGATTGAGTTTGTAATTAATTCAAACAGCCTTAGAGACTCGTCTAATCTATTTTAATTTAATAAGTGATCAATTTTTTTTGTATTAAAACAATAATGGTAGAAAAAAAGTCATTTTGAAAATTTAACTTCTAAATAAATTCGTTAGTATTATAATAACATAAAATTAAGTTCGAAAAAATTCCTAATATATATTAAGATAATCTCTTGCGTGAGATCAACTTAATATAGCTTAAGCAAATAACTACATCCTAGAAATAATATAAATCACGAACATATCACATGCGAAGCATCTTGTTTACAATGTCAACATTAAAACATTCAGAATGTTTTAATGTCAATCGGATTTTTTTATTCAGTCATTTTAATGCGATGAAAACTGATAATAAAAACTCATTACAAAAAATAAAAAAGTTATTTTTTTTAATAAATACGTAGGTAAGTGCAGTCTATGATAGTTTAAAATACAAAAAACAAATATTTAAAGGCAAACCAAAATAAAGTAACAAAAAAATAGAACTGGCTTTAAAGTAACACTGTAAATTAAAAAAACTTACCGCACGTGATTGTGCCGTGGCAAAAAATGCCAATAAAACGAGAAAATGCATCATGTAGCACGTTACCTACTCGTAGCCAGGAAGTGCTACAGCGTAGATATTGGCCTCCGTAGCGCACGGTTGCCGTGGCGAGACTGCCGCAAGCTACGGGCAGCGTGCGGCGCCATCGCGGCCTCGCGCTCGGACCTTCCTTCATTATGTAAACAAAATATTTGACAATAACACCGGGGAAATAAGGACAGGGCTCCTTTTTTATTCACGCTTAAGTTTCCCCTTCACTGACGAAGGGTCAGGGTCGTTGAATACTGATCCTCGGATTTACTGTTACAATACATTATACATTCCACCGACTTTCGCCTTAAAAAAGGTTTCCATTTTTGTTCAGAACAAACAAATTTTCCTTTCTAAAGGATCATTCCGATGTCAACATAAATACGACACGAAACAATATCAAAGGACAAATGGGACAGGTTATTAAATACGTGTTCGTTTTGATTTCACTGTCATTCTTTTGCAAGAACTCCGATGTTTTTACGCAAGAATAGCGTCAAGTGTGAAATAATGGAGAATTGAAAACGCCGCATACTTGAAATAATTCTAGGAAGAACCCTACTAAAAAGTAAGCACTTTCCGCTGTACCGAGCATGAATGACTCGGGAACATATATACATACGTCACGTATTACTTTACAGCGTCACGTGCAGGGTAACAGCCGAGGGACACGTACCCAGCGCCTCCTTTGCCGATAAGGTGAAATAATTTATGAAATATTACAGCCCGTTTACATATGTTCTATATTATATTCAAAGTTAAATGTTGCCATTAGATCATCAGCATTTACAAGCGTGTTGGACACTCTGAAGATTTTATATATTATAAGATAGCAAACGACCAAGAGGTTATCATAATTCGACGAAATCGAAAGCTACACAATGACATTTGCAGCTGCATAGCCCACCATAAATTAACGGAGGAGGGGACGCATGGGAAGGGGAAATTTCCTCCACCAAGTCCACTTCACCTTCCCATCATTTCCTTATAAGGAAGAGGTCAAAGCGGAATGTAGACTAAAATTAAGCCTCCAGCGCGCACACTCATCAGACGGAACGCGGAATTGCTTCCACTACACGCCTGTCTTCTGTGTGATGGTGCTATTTCACATGTCGACCCATCCCTTGCGCACAACACATATTACGTGATCTACAACTGGGAGTATGTTAATTTTATCTGATTTATTAAACTGAATATTTTATCCTTTTTTTACTAAAATAGTTCAATTATGATCAATGCTGCAATAAATATTATAATAGTATTTATAGCAGAAATATGTATTTTGCTATAAATACGATTCAATTAATTCCAAAAAATTAAAGATTTCTATGTAAATAATGATAAATGAAACAGTTTAGTGTAACTTACTATCTGCAAAGGGGCTTTCGGTTTCCGATTGATTAGTTTAATTGAATTAGATTGTTAAAGGCCGTGAGCATCGACTGAGAAGTGTCAAGTAATTTGTTTAAGTAAAACTTTATCTTACTACTGAGTAGTAGCAAGTGATACTTTAAAGTTGAAATTACATTTAGTTTTAATGTAAGCTAAGTATTTGCTCATTTTTAACATCCACATATTAAAGTTGAGTTTTTAAAACATCGATAAGTCTAAAATAGAGTTTATATAATATTATGAGTTTACGGAATATATTTTTTCTTTTGATTGAATGGGCTTGTTATAAATAAATATTACAAAAGTAATTAGATAAAATAAACATTTTATTTCTATAAAATCAATCGCGACAGCCCTTGTCTCTATGTATGTTGTTATCTCTTAACGTCTCAGCAAGTTTGCGAAAGTCAAACATTCTAAGATAATCGAGTTTAGAGCTCTTTTTACATTTTCTCTAGGCAATTACGTCGCCGGCGGATGCTGCACAGCGTCTTTTACAAGTTAAAAGTAATCGTGTATGTTCTATTTGATGAGCTAAAAGCTTTCTTTTAGTAAAAGTCTAATAGCTTCTTTTTAGACACGAAAAATTATTTATACAACAATTGTTAACTAACAAAAAGTAACTCTCAAAAATAACAAAAGAAATAACATTTATAATTACTAATTATGAAATTCAAATCTTATTTGAATGAATTCATTATCCACGAACGCTATTCGTAAGCAAAAACTTTGTACCGAGAACGGAACTGGAAGGAACAAAGTCAATATGACTCTTATTATACAGTAATACCGACCTTCACAAAATGCAAAACGCCAGCAAAGTAAATCCATTTCAGAGACTTCCTTCAACTCGGACGTGACGGGAATACGAATAGTCGTAAATATATAGGCAGGCGAAGGCAAAGGCGCGCCTCCGACCCAACGACACGCCACCTACGCGAAATAACGCAATTTTTAGCGTTCCTACGACTTGTAACGACAACAACATATTTTACCATCGTAAAAACATTTGCCATATAAAAACAAACCTTATGCGGTCGTTATAAGATCCAGTTACACTTTATAAGCCGAATGTAGCATCTTGATACATACTCAAAACGACTCGTTCGCAAAAACAGTAATAACTTCATATCAGTTATACGGTCGACAAAGTATGATTGTGAATTTTATTTACGCCGGAGTATGTTTTGTAGTTTTATTCCCTCTGTCCCTTTGGTGTATCGGCCGGGAGCTAAATACTTGACTTTCAATGAAATCTCAGTACTAACAAGCGTCGCTCTTGAAAATATTTGCTATTATGCGGCACCCGCTCGAGAAATCGAGTTAACTCTCGCATTAAAATTCATATTCCGAGCGAGATGAACGCGTAAGTATGGAAATCCTCCTTATTCTACGTAATATTAACTTTGCTTTCTGATTATGCAAGGATATAACTGATCTTATTATCTACCAGATTCCTCATGCAAAAACGGTATATATTTTGTATTATTATTTTAATAAATTTAAATTACTTGATTAATAAATGCTTAGAAGGATTTTGACACATGTATTTATTAAAACAAATAGATAAGAAAAATATATATTAATAGAGTTTAAAGCGAATCGAACCCAAACAACCAATCCCTCGAGAATGACAACAGAAATTTTTGAGATCGTGTGAGTCCCGGAGCAACAGTTCGAGCTTAGTTTACAATAGCTGTAGGCTGTTAGGTGAGCCCCCGGGGTCCGTACATGTTAGTCTAACGACTCACATTATGCCGCTAGGGATTGTGATCTGGATTAATACTCACTACGCCAGACTGTGTAAATTGAGTTAATGTAGAAATACTCCAAATACATAGAGAAATTCTCCTATTTTCTTAAAACATTATTATTATGGTTAAGAGAAATTAAGGAGTAAGGTTTAATGATAAAAGAATTTTATGAGAAAGTCAGAAAGTCAGAATGTCATGTGAGATAAGAACTAAGAAGAAATGGATGGGTTACGCGAAAGACATGTTTTTGCCGTGTAATTTTTTCTTAGGTCTACATATATTAATCATGATTTATAATGGTGACTGAGAAAAACTTGAGGTTAATTTAATGCAACAGTGCAAACATCGAAGTCTTTATCATTTTATTTCACTGACATTTTCAATAATTAACTACCTTGTTTACATTTAATTTCCACTTGAAAGATATATAAAATCATCCCTCGGAAATCTTACAAGCCGTTTATTTAAGGCCGCAACATGACTGGCAACATCTTACCCTTCCAATTTCCTGTGATGGGGAGAACCTTGCAGACGGCTATAGGTCGTTTGTAACATTTCCAAATATTTATATTTCATTCATTTTTTTTTGAGTAACGTAGGATAAAATTAAGGTCAACCATAAGCTTGAAATGTTTTTCTTTATTACAATAACATTGTTAACTTTTCGTTTTTTACATTTATTATATAAGATGACCCAAAACCTGCAATCGTTACAAGAAAAATAACACAGACCATCAATAGTCGCCCACAAACTAAAAGATCCATTTGCTCAAATAAATCTTACCCTGTGGAAAAGAATATGAAACTATTTATTGTACTGTATTTCATATCACTATTTTGAAGTATACCAAATTATTATTTTTTTCAGAATTATTTTCATAATTTATACATCGGTATTATCTTACCAATTTCTACCAGAACGTGAATTATTTTATAGTCCGATAAATCTACAACGTACTTATACGCCTAATTTAGAAGAAGTACCGCATCATGTCCTTATAATATATAGCAATTTATTCTGTTCTGGAAGTCTTGTTAGCAGCATTACCGTGGTGACTGCAGCCAGTTGCTTTTGGAAAAATACTGATGAGAAAGTCATGGTAAAAATCGGTAGCAACATTCTTTCTGACGGAGAGTAAGTATTGAAATGAACTATTATTTTTAAATGAAGGAAGTGTGCGTTTATTTTTATTTTTCGACGGATTTCAAGCGACTTGTGACTTGAAACTAGATACAAGTGAAAATTTATTTTGTTAAAAATTTACTATGTAAGAAGCCAAATTATTTTTCTTTGATGTCTAGTCCTTCACAAGAGTTATATATAAACGTTATTATTTTATATAATGGAAATTACATTTTCTACATTCTGATTTTTTAATATAACTTATTAAGGTTGTAGAAATCGTTTATATTTCTCTATTTCAGAAACATTTATAACGTGGATTCAATTAAAATACATGAATATTATAAACATCTGTGCGATACGGACAATGATATCGCGCTACTTCTACTTAAAGTAAGTCAATGAAAGATATCATTAAAGTATAGAAAAAAATAAATTAGAACGTGTACTTGTACAATTAATGCGTTCGTTTCTTTTTTTAAAAAGAAGGCTTTTTCATAAAAAAACTAGCTGTCGCCGGCGACTCCGTCCGCGCGGAATTAAAAGAAAACTATTGGTTGCAGCGAATGCATCCTCTGTAAATGGAGTGTCCAACAAAAAATATTTTTCAAATCGGACCAGTAGTTTCTGAGATTAGCGCATTTAAACAAACATACTTTTTCGCTTTATAATATTAGTATAGATAAACGACGTCTATGGATATCCACAACACCAGAGGAATTACAAATACGTTGCAGACCTATCAGAAAGAATAGGCTTGCTTCTTGAAAAAACCCTATTATTAAAGGAACCTGACTGACATACTACTGGTTAGTTTTACTAAGTAAATTGTTATTACAGAATCACGTTTCATTTAGTAAAGGCGTAAAAAAAGTAATCCTTGTGGAGCCAGAGACCGTGTTAAGAGAAAATACAGCAATGACAGTATCTGGCTGGAGTACTTCTGTAAGTAGCAAATGTATGTCAAATAGTCTAATAAACATATAACAAGCTAACCTTGTACGTCTATAGCTGTAACTAATCGGTAAAACTTAATTTTGTAAAAGCGCCATCTATTATCAGTTACCACTAACTAAAATCTCGCTGCTGAACCTCGACGGTTTTATGGCCGGCAAGTTTCACATGTTCTTTCCAGATGCCACTTTTACTGATTATTTTTAGAAACTAACCCCAAAAGTAGGAAATGTATTACTGTGGACAGAGATGGTGGTAATAAATAGAAAAGATTGTGTTCAAAACTATGGAGGACTAATTACGCCGTCGAACTTTTGTGCGAAATATAACTTAGTGAGTACTTATAAGTAACTTATCACAATTAACAAAACTGAATGTAAATTAAATACACTAGAATGAATGAATTTTAACTACTATTGCTATAAATATCCATGAACATTCATTTAAATATTTTACGAATAAACACAAATTAAAGCCAAGTGCTGCCATCTGTTGACACTAAATGTAATTGAAATACAACAAGAAGTGTTAATTATTTTATTTAAAATAAAATTTTGAATATAAATAAAGGTTTTTATTATTTCATAACTGCTTTCATTTCTTACAGGGAAGACGTCTATTCGACAATGGTGGTCCCGCGGTATATCAAGATCTTCTTGTTGGCATTTTATCTTTTGGAAATGCGGAACCAAAGGAACCGTATTTGGCTGTGTTTACAAATATTTCGTACTTTTATAGGTAATTTATTCAAATTTCGTTTTGGACACATAGTTAAAATGGAGGTGATATCTGAAGAATGCAACTTATTGTATTCTAAATGGCCATCTTTATAATTTTCATACAAAAATTTTAACCAAAAATGACAAAAGTGGAAAACTCCGATCGTATCTAAATTGTTATCAGAATTATTGATAACAAAGCTTTAATAAAGCAAAACTTCGTACGATACGATAAGATATGGAACAAGCCTGCGTCAGAACTACAACTAATTTAAGTATAAAATATTAATATTTTGTTTTTTATTGATTATTTTGAATATTTTCATTCTAACACTTTTATAAAAGATATTATCGTCTCTATCACTCTGTAAGTAAACTTAAATAACATTTTTTAATACAAGACTTATTAAAAAAGTGTATGCCTTTTCAGATGGATAATGCTCAACACAAAACGTTTTCTTCGAAGACGATGTGAAACTAATCAAGAGTCAGAATATAACTCCTATTCCTATGAATATGCTGAATAAAAAAAACATTAAAAGATATATTATAAGAAATATCTGTACAAGATAAAAGTTATCATAAAGTTTCGTAAAAGTCTAGTTTTGATGACATTAATATTCCAATGCTTAATTATAATATAATTTAATTTAATTAAAAATATAATTTATTTATCAATTTAATTAAAATGATAAAATATTTATGTATATGAAATTATATTTGAATAAGAAAATATATTTATTATATTATTTCTTGAATTAGGCAAAATGCATTTTATTACAAACAACGGTTTTCGTCTAAACTTATTATTAAGTTTATTATTATTTTTTAAATAATAATCCTTATCTTACACTTAGAGTTAGTTAATTACTTATCACGTCTTTGTTTTTTTACAAAAACTTTCTACGAAGTTCTTAACTTGTGATCTAATCCATTTTCTGAAAAAGAAGACATTTGTGTAGATGCTTGGCTTAAGTTTCTTTGAGCATCCGTCCCCGTGAGATACGATGCCAACGATCATGCTGTAAAAAATACACAATTGTTGAAGTGAGAATTTATCTTACCGATGTTATTTAAAAGGAATGTTTAGATGGATGGATGGATGTTTGTGTGAAGGTATCACCGGAACGGCTCAACGGATTTTGATGAAATTTGGCACACATATGGTGGAAGAATACATAGGCTACATATTTTTTTTAATTTCGCGCGGAAAAAGTCGAGGGCGACAGCTACTTAATTCATAAGGGGACCACACTTCTTTTTACAACTTATTCACTTAGTAAACAAACCAAGACCCTTTAAATAAACATCAAACAGTATGTTAATTAAGATATAGTTATGTATGTAAAGTACATACTCATTCCACAAAACACCTCCACCTGAGTCACCCTTACATGTATCCCGGATGCCGTCTCCATACAAACAAAACATATCCGTTGTCAGTTTTATCTTATGCATACTTTCGCATTTCTCTTTTGGCACAAAATGTAGTCTGGTACTCATGAGTCCACTGTCTGATATTGGCCCTCCGTACTAAGAAAAGAAGAAACCAAATAAGAAAGATTTTCGTGTGTGCAGTCGCACGCCGTTAGATATTTAATGGAAAAAAGTCTTATAATCAAGCACATTGTCATTTTAATATCCATTAGTCTTGATTATAGCCAGGTATAAATTTATCATCAGCCTGAATACACTTAAGATACAAACTGCGTCGTGAAGCTGAAACAAACTTGTTGTTAGAGTCTAACCGATTCTATAAAACCTTAATCTCATACATAATTACTGCTCTACATGTAACATTCACATGTGGATATAGATAGATAGCAACATCTAAAGTTCATAAAAACTGATTTTAGCAATACGCGACTTAATTAGCAGATTGCTTTCGGGTATGTTACGGTAGGAAATTTTAACATCAAGAACGGTTGCTAATTTACGAACCAGTTTTAATTTTATGGATCCCGCTGAAATTTGGCATCGATGTAGAACATTGTCTGGAAGAACACATAGACTACTAATTAAGTTAGCTAGTAACAAAGTAAATTCTCTAACTGCTAAAATATTAACTCTTTTAATAAATATTTCTCATTTAAGAAAATTTACTTACTTTCGTCCACCCCCAACCGGCTGCGACCAATTTATTATTTTCTTTTTTCCAGCTTTCATTTGTTACGAGCAGTGCTTTTTTAACAGTACTCCCAAATGTGATTACTTCATTTACAAATATAATAGCAATATCACAAGCGAACGGCATCGCTTTACTGTAGTTGCTATGAATCACATAATCTGATACTCTCCGTATATCGCCGTCGTAATCATAAACGTACCGAGCTCCTATTGTTACAACAAAACAAATATCAATTATATACGACTTGCAGTATTTACTTCTTATGTAAAGCCGTAATGTACCGACAATGTGTAATTATAGTGCATATAAATATACCCTGATTTAGTGATGTACATAAATTAAATCACTAATTTACTCGTACATTTAATCAAACTCTACATAAATACGTTTAATAGTTTGAATTATCAAGTAAAACAAAAAATAGCCAGTATGAACATAAAAATAAAAATAAAATGCATTTAATAAAAAAAAACGCTACTTAGGGAACGACACACAAAAATTGTTGCAACAGTAAAAAGTCGAGTGTCGAATAAAAGAATCATCCAATTTAAAAAATACATGCATAAAACATTTGTTACTTACCAACTTGTATTACCATGTTAAAAATATTTTTATTATTATCAAAACAATGCGCAGCTGTGAGTATTGACCAACTATTTATAATGCTCCCAGAGCATAAAGATCCGAAGTTAAAGAACTGCACAGCTGATGGCAAATTTTCTATCTTTATTGGTTCTCCACCTATTATTTTACCCTCGGAATGATCCGGGAATCGTGACGGCTTAATTCCCGAACCCCCATGAATATTAACACATATCGACAGGAGTAATAAAGCCACGAAACCAGTGAATTTTATTGCAAACGATCGTAAAAATCGATTGAACATAATATCGATTAGGAAACATTAAACTACGAGTGGACGTGATTAAAATGACTATAGCAATAGAAAAGTCAGTATCGATAATTAATTTTCAATTTATTACCTAATTGTTATCGTACGTTTATGATTAAAATAGTACGATAATAACTAATATAAAATAACTTATACAACGGTATTCCACCAGTTCCTCGGATGTTTCTTAGAATAGGACTTTATTAAACAGTGTTTTGATGAAACCAATAAAAACCTGTCTTCATTTACTCTTTAATTAATAATTTAAAAGTCACTTTTTATATTAGGTACATATGTCAGTCTATATTTCAAGACTGTTGTTGGATTTCAATTGAATCAAAAACCTTTAATCATTTTCAAAATACAAACATCTTCTGAACGTATTAAAAAACAAGTTATTTCAGCACTTGAATTAGTACAAAAAATCATGGTTTTAAGTGGCCACGGGATTTATGAAAGTGACAATATAATTCATTGAGCTTCCGAACAGTTCTGTAGATCCAAGTTCTGAAGTAAAATACATTAGTATACATCGCCGGTGCGACTGCACATCCGTGACCGTGAGATACGATGCCAACTATTATACTGAAATATTAACATGCACATTTAAAATATCCCATCTTTTTAATTAAAAATTATTCCACAAAGAAAAATCAATTTTAACGAGTATCCTAGTTGTCTTACTCTTTCCACAATATTCCTCCTCCCGAATCCCCTTTACAGGTATCTCTCTGACCATCGCCATACAAACAAAAGATATCAGGAGTAAGTACAACTCTGTTTGACTTCATGCATTCATTTGGTGACACATATCGAAGTTGAGTCTTCATCAGTCCACTGTTAGATAGTTCACCTTTGTACTAAGAAAAATATATATAATAGTTAAATAACAAAATACTGAAAGTGGATTGTAGAAAATGAACAAGTTTTATTTTGGAATTCTCCTAAATCATACTACGTGTTTGGGTCAACTATGCCTTCAAAAAAGCTAGGAAAATTTTTGTGCAAGTCATCCAAATCCTGACCATAGTACCATTAAAATCTATTTAAATTTGATATTGAAAATTTCGGATCTAAAGAGTCATAAATTTTACAAACTAAGATTATAAACTTTTGGTGCTTATAAAATATTGATGAACTGAAAATCACCTTAATCTCTCCCCAGCCGGTGGCTTCGAAGACTTCATTTTCATTCATCCATGTATCAGTATCACAAAGAACAGCTCGTTTAACATTCTCGTCAAATTTAAACTCATCATGCACCAGTATGACAGCTATATCGTTAGAAAACATCGCACTTGTATTATAATATTCATGCACTTTAAAATCCCATACTTCATGTGTGCGAGCTTGGGGATCGAAAATGAAACGCGAATCTGAAAATTTAACAGTTGGACATCTCAAGGTCACAAACAATTGCATCTACATTCAATTAATTACAATTACATAAAAATGTATTCATACAAAATAATGTAACTCATTCATTAGAATGTTACGTATTTGTTTTTTTATACGAGAAGGGGGCAAACAGGCAGCGGATCGCCTAAAATATTATCCGTTGCCCTTGGGCACCCGCAACTCCAGAGAAAACGCAGATGCGTTGCCGGTCTAAAAACTTTTACAGCAACAGTATAACTAATAGTCTAGACATTTTCAATCCTAAATAGGTAGTCTTCAGAAACGATTTGTTAGGCAAAAGTTTATATACTGCAATTTTACTATTGCATTCTTTGAAGTTAGTGTATATTTGTTTTACGTAAAACATATCTTTATGTCTAAATATTTGTATTCACTAACGCACTGGACAATACAGTCATTTCAGCAATATTACGATTATGGTCAAAACAATGAGCTGCGGTCATAACAGTCTTGCTTGTGAGGATGGTACCACCACACATTCCACCGTAGTTGAAGAACTGAACATTGAAAGGATACCGCTTCAAATTTGTCGGTTCACCCCCTACTATTCTATCTTCTAGTTCATAAAACATAGCAGTCCAGTTAACTGTCACTTCGCCCATATCTTTTAAGTGACCGCTAGCTATTTTAACAACAAAAAATATACATAAAATCACTTGTGTACACATTTTTAAGCAATCACTTAACTGCGATTCTTAATTAATGGTGAAGTTTAATAAAGTCTGCAAAAGTTTTATGTTTCGTAAACCATTCAATGACGTAACGCTTAAACTGTATTATGTTGTAGAAATTTTGCGTTATTACTGGCTTGATTGAAGTGTTAATAAAAGAAAAAACGTTATAAAATTAAATTAAATAGCTAAATATTATTAGTTGTGTGTTATCAAAGGAATTTTCACGACACATGCGCTACGATGCGAAAATTATGCGAGACAATTTAAATATCAAAGGGTGTTTAACGCGTCTACCAAATTGTACGTGAGTAATACATGTGCCAAGTCGCATGTCTGGACGTGGCCGGGAAATGATTTTACCTATTACTATCGCACTCACACAACAGGTATATTCATAAGTGCATGAGAGAGGAGATATTAAGGAACGTGACGGTACGATACGGAATAAGTCCGTGCCGCCCGCCTTTCGCTCACTTAGTCGTCCGCAGTCAGCTGCCCATAGCGCTTTGCGGTGTATTTTCATTCTAAACATAACCTAAATCGGCCTATCAATTCTAATACTCAAAACAATTATAAATTAAAAGAAAGTAATTTTAATAATAACATAATTATTGACAACTGAAATAAATTCTTAAATCATAAACAACATATTATGCTTTAAACGCAATCAAAACAATGGTGTATATCGATTTTGTGAATTAACTTATTCAAAATTCATACTTATTACTAATACTAGATAGAATATTTCTAAGGATACAGATTTAATTTGGTGAGTATCAAAGATTTTATAAACTTGTTTAGTTACTGTGATAAGGAACACCTGTTTGAATGGTTTTCTAGGCTCTCCGTGTCACTCGAATATAAATAGCTTAAAGCTAAGATGAAACTCTCTTACTTGCAGAAAAAATTAATACGAAATTAATTATGTATAATACGTAAAAAACGTTGTAGCAGTTATACAGTTATTTATCTGTGAGTTTTTTTTATAAGTGATAAAAATAGAAATTTTAATGATTACCTTGACTACTTTTATTTAAAGTTTTATTTAACTCACTATGTATAATTCAACTCCCTGTATTTTATAAATATCACATCACGTTTCAAGCACGTGTCCTGAAAAAATTTATATGTAGATTCAGCGCGCTTTAAATTTGTTTTATGTTATAACCACGCGTTTCTATGTATTATAAAAACCAGACGTAAAATGTTATTTTTAAGATAGTAGAATTTTTTAATCTCTGTTCAGGCACGTGTTTAGATATAATTACTTACTATATGTTAGGGATCGTACATTAATCACGTGCGGCACGAAAGGGGTGGGGGTGGTTCTGAAGGGAGTTAAAATAAGATATCACACTATTTTTTAAAAATATTATTAAGAGAATGCCAATATTTTTATGTACTAAAAATACACGCCATTTAAGATAGTCTGAACTGACCCTCCGACCACCACATAGTGAGGGGTATAGGGGGGGCAAAGGTTTAATCAAATGTAATTAAATTAAACTTATTTTAGACTTTTAATTGGTTTTTTTTTATCTAAAGTTTTAATTTCATACACTTTTAGTAATTAGAATATATAGCTCATGTGCTTTGTACTTGTGCCGATTGCAACGCTTGTAAGATATTAAGACGTATGAGTTAAACTAATTTATCTCCAAATGTATTCCTAAATACAAACAGTTGATAAACAATTTATTTACAGACAATTGAAAAGCAAAGTGAATCCTTAAAGATTGGCTATAAATTACTTATAAATTCAGTGAACAATCTGCCCGGCTGTGAGTGAGTGAGCGGAGACCAATCAGCCGCTCATAATGATGTTACCGCTCACTCCATAAACACCCTAGGGTTGTGACCGGCTGTTTCAGAATCACAACAAAACGATTCCTTTATATTTCACGGAAATTAAGAAAACATCCCTCAAAAATAATAGATAAGCAAAATTGTAACACATGCGTGGTTAAAAATATCCAATTTTTCTCCGTTTTTTTGGCGCGGTTTATTGAAAATTATTCAAAAATGTATCCAGTAGATAGATTTTAATTTTTTAAGTAAATAGGTCCGAATAATACGCAACACATTTCGAATAAAAGAATCATGAAAATCGGACCACCAGGGGCGGAGTTATTGACGAACAAAAATAAAATAAAAACATACAAACGAATTGAGAACCTCCTCCGATTTGAAGTTATTTTTACTACAAAGATAAATTCATCATATTGATGTAATAGACACCTCCTTTCCTACTTAGTATTTTAATTAACTACAAGGTGCTACATTTAAATTATATTATATTACGTTAACATCTTATCTTATGAAAAGGTATAGTTTATTATTTTTCAGAGTATGAAATATTTTGGAAGCCATAACATAAGCCAAGCCAACCCTGGAAAATTATGACTTAAAGTGTTATGTCGTACGTTGCTGAATTGCGTGAACATTGTTCCGATGAACATCAGAACATTGTTCACTATTAATATAATTTTAATATTTCCATAAAAAATAACTGTAACTAAAAACTACATACAAACTTAATAGCGTTTTCTATTTCATTGCTTTTAGTAAAAAGCATACTGTGACATTTATTGATATAATAGTCTATGTGACATGGTAAATAGATAAATACATACACACAATAAATATAATAGTACATATCCTAGAATACTTTGTTATGCTACAATAGGCGGAAGTGAACTAATCAGTCTAAATGTCCCAGGCTGGTACTATGGGCGCAGATTCTTAATTCAAGACCTCAATTGAAGAATTATTTTAGCCGTCTTGGTCGGCAAGGTTATATCTATAATGTACAAGTTAGATTACGACAAGGAAATGTCCGAAAGTAAAGAAGAATTTTAATTTTTATAGCGAAAATATTTAGCATTATACTTATTGTGCTAAGTTTGGGTTTCCACTACAAACTTATCAATATCGAAACACATTTACAAACATATAATATCTTCCGTTCTTCGTTTCTATCCGTAAGTAAATAATATATAATAACAATATTATATTATTTATATAGTTTTTCTGCAGTGGAAATTGACGCTAATATAAACTTATAGTTCATGTAAGTATATTTTTGCGTCAGTTTCAGTATCAAAATATGATAAGTTTAAAATCTTTGCTTGTCGATTTGTAGTAAATAAATATATTATATGCATCCTTTATAGGACAACCTTGTCCGTATTATCAGCAGAATATTTACCGAGTGGTCGACCTCAGCATACTCCGGCGATCCTTTCGACAAACGATCATCCGAATGAGGACGAATTACGATAAGGTCACGACATGGATTATGAATCCGTGAATCCTTTACAAGGATATTCTTTGAAATATGATGTATATGACCATAAATAATCACGATAAGCCTTGCCTTTTGGAATACTTTAAGCATTAAATAAAATTATGAAAACATATTGAGAGTTAAAGTTAAAACCTTACATGTCAGATTGTAAACTTTGAACAGAATTAATCGGAATTTAATTAAATGTTATAATACAATTGCAAACACGCGACGATCACATGTGTTGAGCACAAAGAAAATGCTAAAATCAACGTGTGGGAGTTAATGACGTCATTAACCTCAATATTTTACTCTTTATGCATACGAAATCGCTGGTTTGAATGAAAGGTCGATAATTTTAGACTTCCATTGTTCCATCTTTTGTTTTATACAATAAAAATACGAATAACAAATAAAATATATAAAACAAACAAACAAAATAACACCATTACCAATCCAGTATAAAAATACTTCTATTTGTATTATGTGTTTATTGTACCAAAATAATTATTTATATAATCAGACAATTTTCGGAGAATTTCTATATTTTGTGTTAACATAACATTCTGTTTTGCAAACTTCACTGAAAACACAAATGTAAAATAAACTTTGAAATTATTTCATGTTTATAAAAACAGTTGAACACAGTAACATCATTAATTATTTAATTTACATATGAATTATTGT